CCCCCAGGCCCAGGAGTGCAGGTGGTCCTGGCTTCAGGGGTCTGGGTGACCATAGTCTTAGCTGGTGACATGGGTGGGGCTGGCCTCTGCTCTGCCCACATCTCTCTCTCTTCCCTGCTTTTGCTGAAGTGGGAGTCCAGATGGGAGGTGTTGGGCAAGTGGAAGGCTTGACCTCTCTCCCTGGGCTTCCTCACCGTTTCCACAGGGGCTCTGTTCGCTGTCCCCAAACTCCTCTAGCCCAGCGGTCGCCAACCGGTGGTCCGTGGACCACTGGTGGTCTGTGGGGTCCGAAAGGTTGGCGACGCTGCTCTAGCCGATGGGCTTGGGGCTGGCCCTGCCTGCCTCCCACTGGCCACCTTCCTGGTTCCTGGCCTTGGGGCCCTTACCCTCTGTTCCCCGAACTTGGGGTACTCTTCTCTGGCTTTTGCGTTGCTCCCCCAGGCCCCCATCCAGGCCAGATCCTGCCTTGTTCCTTGCCCGTGTCCCCAGCACTGCAGGCTTCCTCCCCTGCTGGAGGCCAGTGCCACCTGTCCCAGGCACTGTTCAGGGCAGGGCTCACCTCAGACACTGCTCTTTGTCCCAGCATCAGCTCCAGCCACTTACCAAGATCTAGGTTTTATGTGGGGATGGAGAGTCCTTTTTGAAGGGTCAGGGCACCGAGGGTCTGGAACTGGGACATGCAAAGGAGCTCCCAAACTGAGCATAGACATTGGGATTTGCCTGAGGTTTTGGGATATCATTCATTCACTCACTCACTCGTTCACTCATTGGCACACACACTCATTCTCCAGATATTTACTGGGCACCTGCAGTGAGTCTGGTCCTGCACACACAGCAATCAAGGCCACACATGGCCTTCTGGGCTCCCGGCCCCACAGGCAGCAGAACTCCCATGGCTAACACCACCAAAGTGAGGACAGGTGGCTCCTGAGTCTTCTGTGGGCTACTTCATCGCCTGGCCCCTCAAAGAAGAGGCTGGGGGAGGAGAAGGGGAAGCCTGGGGGAGGGAGATACAGCTCATGGGTGGGCATGTGCCCCTTCTGGAACAGGTTAGCTGTTCCCCTCCCGCCCTTGCACCCACAGATACTGACCCATTATGTGGGGAGAGGGGATTGAGGTGGGGAGCCAGGGGCCCTAGGCTGGCTGAGGGTGCGTCTGAGGCTGTTTCTTCATACTGCCACTGGAGGGCGCCTGGAGCCCACTCTCTGCCTCAGAGGCCAGGGGGACAGGCCCATGCCCCAGTGACTAGCCAGCCGTAAGTGGACCGACGGCCTTGGCCAGGGCAGCCCTCGCAGCTAATCTGGTGCTCTCTCCCTTCCATCTACAGCACCTCTTTTGCCTTATAGTGTCCAGCCCCAGGCCTTGACTACACTTTTTTATTTTTAATTGGATAAAATACACATCACATAAAACTTAACCATCTTAACCGTTTTTAGCTGTACAGTTCAGTAGTGTTTAAGTACCATCACCACCGTCCATCTCCAGGATGTTTCATCTTTCCAGACTAAAACTCTGTCCCCATCAAGCAGTTACGTACTAACTCCCTATCCATATCGTAGTGTCTGTCATAATTTCCTTCCTTTTTGAGGCTAAATCAAATTCTACTGTATGGATGGATCACATTTTGTTTATCTGTTCATCCATTGATGGATACTTGTGTTGTGTGTGGCGAGCCGGCACGGCCATGGCATACTCAGCCCCACATTGGGCACCTTATGTGCCGCGCCAGCTCAGCCGGGTTTGGTGAACCTGAGTGGGGGCGGTGAAGGGTTGAGAAAAGACAGACAAGAGAAGAAAGCTGGGTCTGGGTGGGACGCTGTTCTCTCTGATGAAGAGCTAGCGACAGCGCCACGGACTACAAGCCGTGTCTTTATTTAATAGCCAGATTCCACGAGACAAAGTAAGGGCGTGGTCAGGATGTTTATAACAGTCTCGTGGGTTTCGAGCCTACTCAACTACGTGCACCTGAACTCTATCAAGCCCACATCACTCAGGCACGTGGGGCCACATGTTTGGACCATAGGTTCAAGCTCACAACCATAGCTGTTGGCTATAATTGTGCTGGGAGGGCTTTGCCCTCCAAGCTGGGACTTGCACTGTGTAGCTGGTGGTTCTCATCCCACCAGCTGAGCCCTGTAGGCGTCTCGCCCTTCTTTGGCCTGGGAGGGCCCTGGGCCCAGGGGAAAGGGCAGTGGTCTGTTCATTTTGGTAGCTGCTCGAACCCCTCCCCTTCCCCTTGGGCCATTTGCCCTCATCTGTCAGGCCCAGGGGTAGCAGGAGGGCTGGGGTTTGGGACAGTGGGGGTGGAGAGCTCACACCACAGATGGCAGAGTCTATGCTGGTTCCCAAAGACCCCGCTAAAGCTCTCAGTGACCCCAAGGAATCGGGCATGAGTTTTGAGTTCTGGCCTTGTGGCTAAGGCCTCTCTGAGCGGACCCTGAGGGTTTCCAGGGCTTTTGAAGGCGGGGTCCACTTGGCCCCACATCAGGGTCTTTGCCAGGTCTGGAATCTCTCCAGTCCCTATTGGCCAGCAACTCCCCAGACCCTCCCCTCAGGGGAAATCCTGGCTGTGGGAATCTCTGTGCCCCGCCCCACTCCTCTGGGTTCGTTTTAAGAGTGGGCCCCATTTCACGGTCCCATGTCAGGACCTCCTGGGCCTGGTTCTGTGGCTCAGGACTGCCCCTCGGCTCCTGCAACAGGTCCAGCAGCCCAGGCACCTGGCCACACCTCCCTTGGGTATCTGTCGCCTCTTGGGGTTGGTTGGGTCCAGACTGGGGCGGGATGGGGGCTGAGAGCCCAGGTCCCAGTCTTGGAAAGGGCCACCCGTGATGAGATGACCCCCCCCCCCTCCCGTTCCAGTGGGCATCAAACCCACCCCCACCCTGGCCAAGGGCTCAGAGGACAGCAGGCTAACCAGGATGGCGTGCACAAGGCTGGAGCGGGACGCACCTCGAGGGGGCGACTCAGAGCAAGCAGAGCTAGGAGCCC